GGCTATCACTTCCTTATGTCCGGTCGTGATGGTCAAGCGGATTAAGGCGTCCCTGTACATACCAGTTGTGGGAGTATGGGTTCGAGTCACTTCTGGGGTGTGAGTTTTCAGTTGTATATAGTCCTGGGGACCATTCAGGCTTGTTTGCATTTGTGTTCCTCACGTGTGCCCCAAAGAATGAGGTGATTTGATAAAATGCTATGCCCAAGATTACCATCCGAGTGCCGGCGGGGAAGTGGTTCATATAGCCTCGGCTATCACTTCCTAATGTCCGGTCGTGATGGTCAAGCGGATTAAGGCGTCCCTGTACATACCAGTTGTGGGAGTATGGGTTCGAGTCACTTCTGGGGTGTGAGTTTTCAGTTGTATATAGTCCTGGGGACCATTCAGGCTTGTTTGCATTTGTGTTCCTCACGTGTGCCCCAAAGAATGAGGTGATTTGATAAAATGCTATGCCCAAGATTACCATCCGAATGCCGGCGGGGAAGTGGTTCATATAGCCTCGGCTATCACTTCCTTATGTCCGGTCGTGATGGTCAAGCGGATTAAGGCGTCCCTGTACATACCAGTTGTGGGAGTATGGGTTCGAGTCACTTCTGGGGTGTGAGTTTTCAGTTGTATATAGTCCTGGGGACCATTCAGGCTTGTTTGCATTTGTGTTCCTCACGTGTGCCCCAAAGAATGAGGTGATTTGATAAAATGCTATGCCCAAGATTACCATCCGAGTGCCGGCGGGGAAGTGGTTCATATAGCCTCGGCTATCACTTCCTTATGTCCGGTCGTGATGGTCAAGCGGATTAAGGCGTCCCTGTACATACCAGTTGTGGGAGTATGGGTTCGAGTCACTTCTGGGGTGTGAGTTTTCAGTTGTATATAGTCCTGGGGACCATTCAGGCTTGTTTGCATATATATATATATATATATATATATATATATATATATATATATATATATATATATATATATAAAATATATATATATATATATATATATATAACAGACAGGAAACAAAGAGGTGGAGAGACGTGACAGTTTGGGCCGTCATCGATCGGTCTGGGAATCGTGACTGTTTCTGATGAATTAGAAATCGCACGTGTTTATTAGCGTCTACAGATGATGCTAAGCTAATATGGAATATAACAAACCGAGAGGGGACTACATTGAACAAAATCCAGAAGTTGGCAGATAAATGGTTGTTAGATTTAAATCCCAGCAAGTGTATGGTAATACAACTAAGAGACATAGAAGGGACCAGGTACCATAGACACATAGTCACAGGGTACATCACATTAATCTATGCAACCCATGTTAGGCTAAGACTATAATAAACATAGGAGACCGGGTCGAGAAACGGGCCGCGGGGACGTTGAGCCCCGAAATCATCGCAAGGTAACCGCAGCTCCGGCGTGGAATTCTCGTAAATTAGAAAACTTGAACATTGCAGAGGTTAGTAACCAGTCTAGTGCTAGAATCAAGAGGACTCATCTACTAGGACATATTATTGGAATTTAGTCTTACAATCCTATAGGATAAAAAGAACAGAAGGGATATGATCACAGCATGCAAGATACTGCGTGGAATAAACACAGATAGCCTGTTTAAATAGAGAGAAAGTAGGACAAGAAGACATAGGTGGAAGCTGAGGCACTAATGTAAGGACGTACCCATACTATGTATGGACGATCAGCAAGTAAAATGCACTTAAATAGGTAGTGGTGGAGGCCACCTCCATCCACATCTTTGTCATGTACTAGACAAATTCCGAGTGTCAAGAAAGTTCAACTAGAACACAGCAGGTACAACAAGGCTAGTAACAGGAGGTAAATACCCTGGAAACACAAACCGAAACTGTCTCTATTTTCCGCTTGTTACAACTTGTAATAAAGTTGTTACATCTTGGCTTAACGTGTTTATGACGAATTAGAACGTTGTTACAACTTGCTATATTGGTTTTTATAACTGGTTAAGAGGTGTTAAAACTTGCTCGAGCGTTGTACCAACGTCGATGTTTCGGTGTGTGTTTGGCGGGAATTAAGGGCTAAAGTGTCACTTCCCCGCAGTCATTGCGAGGTAATCACCTCCCGTAGTACTACCACCACAGCTCCTCCCCCCCACACCCCCCACACACCATTACTGAGCCACAGTAATCCAACAATCCAACTCTACTGCCATTCCTGCAATCATTCCCCCCCAGCCTCCATCACCATTCCCACCTATAAGCCTTACTGCACTATCTGACACTGCCACACAACACGGTATATAAAAAAGAGTGTCGGCTCGAGGTTGGAAGACAAACGGCTTCTGTTAACCTCACGCAACTTTCCATGGTGAATTGTGATTGTATGGTGAGTGTTATAGGGTAAGTGGGGGTCAATCCCCCCTTCCTCCCTAATGCCCTTCCTTAAGTAGGACTGGTTCCTATTGCGTCAGCCAATGACTCCTGTGTAAAATATGGGTTTCATTGTCCATAGTGTGTTTATCAACACATTTCTAGATTGTTATGGACGTTAAATTAAAGTCGATAACGATGTTTCAGCGTTACTCGAACATATTGTGCCCACTGGGAGAGAGAAGAGGACGGACACAGAAAGAAAATGGAAGAGATGAAGAGAGAATGGAAGGGGAAGGAGCAGGGAGAATGGAAGAGAGAGGGGGTGAGGGAGGGAAAATGGGAGTGAGAGAGAGAGACCTCATATAGAGCAACCGTGATAGGTGCTGGGTCACACTGTCACCACCACCACAAGGCCTCCTCCATCACCACCACAAGGCCTCCTCCATCACCACCACAAGGCCTCCTCCATCACCACAACAAGGCCTCCTCCATCACCACCACAAGGCCTCCTCCATCACCACCACAAGGCCTCCTCCATCACCACAACAAGGCCTTCTCCATCACCACAACAAGGACTCCACCATCACCACTCACCAGTACTGACCTCAGTAACAGTGCCGGAAGCGTCATCAGCTAGGTCAGGCCTCCCAGGGCACCACCATTATCAAACAACGCCATACATGTTATGCATCGCCCGTATTATGCATGCATATGTATATGTATGTAAATATTTTTGCATTTAAACAACAGGTGGCATAGAGCTGCATTTAAAAATTAACAACACAATTACAAGAACAAATGTAGCATTTAATTATTGTATTCCTGTGGAGCGATTTCCAGACCATTTTCGTACATTTTCGGAGTTCTGCGTATTCTTGGGGGTTCTGTAATCCCGGGGTTCTGCGTATTCCTGGGCTATCGTGTGACCTTGATAAGGTTCCGTGACATACGTCAAGAGACGGAATGTCAGCTAACATGGATGCATTTACGATTTCAATTCTGAAAATGTCATACTGGAACCATAAGAAGGTTGTAACAAGTTGCTATCATGAAGAGAGCGAGAGGCCGCCGCTATGCCTAGTAAGAGTGTCCTGGTAGGGTACTAGGAGCACGTCTGGAGGCCATGGTAGCAAATTATCACCACGTCCCTCTGATGCAATTTAGAAACTAAATCTTTATTTTTTTTATATCATACCTATTTTACATTAATTACAATTTTATTTTCTCTGTATTCTTTTTTTTAGCTTTCTGCTCATCATTTCCCACTGTAATTAAGCTCTGAACGATCTTTTTATCCCGGTGCTAGACCTTGGGGATTAATCTATGATCAATATGCGACCGTTCTCCCCAACCTCGGCCAGGCTGGCGATCTCCCAGAGGTCATTAGACCTCTCTTTGTTGGCGCCTCCCTCTGCACCTCAAGGTAGAGGGACGGAGGAGTCATGCCCCTCGCCCTTGACAAGACCTCTTCCTGGATACCAAGGGTACAGTACAAGCTTCCTGGATACCAAGGGTACAGTACAAGCTCCCTGGATACCAAGGGTACTATGAGAAGTCAGTCCGGAAGCGGCCACCATTTTGCAACCAAAACTGAATTTTACAAACTCCTTCAATTCAGACAGAAAGATACTGTACTCCTAGCTATTAATTATCATTTCCTTCATTTTAAGCATGCCATAAGAAAGTTACACAGTGTATTAATTGATCTCACTATATGGTTGTTGGACGATGGGCCCCCTATGTTAATGCTGGAGGGCATAGGAGAACTCATACAGGATGGAGAGAAACTGGCACTCACTCAACTTCTTCAAATATTAACTAGTTTCCGCCAGTTACTACATTATCAATCAAGCTACAGCCATCTTGTTTTGGGTGAGACATTATGGCGGGATCCTCGGGGATAGGGTGGGGGGGGGGCTTTGAACAATTCCGACCTAAAGAGGATGGACGATAGTAATAATGACAGCGACGCTGACGGCGCTGTTTACCTCCTCACATCTAAGCGATCATCATTTTTAAATCTTTTCTGCCATAAAGCGGCTCCAGACAAGGTGAGCACAAGGTTGGAGTGAATTTTATAATAAGTTATAAAGCCTTGCCTCTACTTCCTGCTTCCCTGAGGCAGCCATCAACGCCTTTCATATACTCCATGGCAACCACCTGTTTCTGACTTATACTCCATGGCAACCACCTGTTTCTGACTTATACTCCATGGCAACCACCTGTTTCTGACTTATACTCCATGGCAACCACCTGTTTCTGACTTATACTCCATGGCAACCACCTGTTTCTGACTTATACTCCATGGCAACCACCTGTTTCTGACTTATACTCCATGGCAACCACCTGTTTCTGACTTATACTCCATGGCAACTACCTGTTTCTGACTTATACTCCATGGCAACCACCTCTTTCTGACTTATACTCCATGGCAACCACCTCTTTCTGACTTATACTCCATGGCAACCACCTCTTTCTGACTTATACTCCATGGCAACCACCTCTTTCTGACTTATACTCCATGGCAACTTTCTCCTCGGCCTCATACGTCACCTGCTGTCTTCTACATTGTTTCAGAGTTATGCTGAAACAATGTAGAAGACATACATGCCTGCTATATTCTGCCTACTGCTCGATAACCCGCCGCCCTGACCTCCCTGACACTCACCTAGACTAGAGGTGTGAGGTGAGAGGTCGTCCGTTGAGAAAGGCGTCGTCCCGGGGAACCAGAGGTCTGCGAGCGGCGGAAAGCGGCAGTATGACCTCTCTCACGCAGCCGTCGTTGGACTCCAGCTCCCGGGCCTCCTTGGCAACCTTGGGGCGCTTCGATGATCCTCCGCGCCTCTTGGAGAACATGGAGTTCTCCGCCGCCAGGGCGTTGTTGATGTCCTTTCTTGCGGCACAAGTGCACGCCTTCAGGAAGCTCTTCTTGAAGTTCTCGCTGAGGAAGGCGTAGAGGATGGGGTTGATGGCGGAGTTGATGTAGGAGAGCGAGGAGGAGATGAGGAAGAAGATGATCATGACCCGACTCTGCACCTGCTTGGGCATGCTGAAGGTGAGGATGAGCTGCAGCACCCAGTACGGCAGCCAGCACAGCACGTACACCGTGATCACCGTCAGCACCAGCTTCGTCACCTTCCTGTGGCTCTTTCTCTTCTTCGACTTCGACTTGGGCCCAACGGTTTTGAGTTTGAGGATAACTAAAGAGTAGAAGATGAAGATGAGGGCGAAGGGGCAACCGAAGGCCAGGACGAAGGAGTAGATAGTGAAGACTGTATGACCGTTGACCCCGACGGAGTCAGGCCAGTAGATGTTGCAGCTGGCCTGGCCGTTGCTGTCGTTGAGGATGTTGGAGTACATGAAGACCGGGATGATCATGAGGGCGGAGATCATCCAGGCCGTCAGGGACACCAGCTTGGAGATCATGGGCGTCCGGAACTTGGGGGAGCTGATGGGGTGGCAGACGGCGATGTACCGGTCGGCGCTCATGATGGTCAGGAAGAGCGAGCTGGTGAACTGGTTGAGCGACGTCGTGATCATGAAGAGCTTGCACATGACGAAGCCGAAGGGCCAGTACTCCACGGCCGTGGTGGTCATCAGGAACGGGATCCCAACCACGAAGAGCATGTCGGCGATGGCCAGGTTCAGGATGTAGAGGTTGGTGACCGTCTGCATCTTGGAGAACCGCACGACGACGTAGATGACGAGGGTGTTGCCGCACAGCCCCAGGAAGAACCCGAAGGCCAGGAAGATGAGGGTCATGCGCTGCACCGTCTCGTTGAGGATGGGGAAGACCCGGCCCTCGAACACCTCCCCGCTGCAGTTGGTGCCGTTGAGGCCATCCGTCCAGTTGAGGAAGGAGCAGTTGAGGGGCAGCAGCTCCAGGTAGACGTAACTCATGTTACTCACACTGTCGTACACCACCTGCAGGCCCTCAGACGCCATCATTCTCACCTCAAATGGTTCTTCCTTAATCGATAATGCGGTAGTTTAAGGAGTCATTTTGTTTTATAAGAGTGTACTGTAGTGGCGGAGTGCCTGCGGACACGTGGTCGTGGAGAGTCTGCGGACACGTGGTCGTGGAGAGTCTGTGGACACGTGGTCGTGGAGAGTCTGCGGACACGTGGTCGTGGAGAGAGTACTGTGGACACGTGGTCGTGGAGAGAGTACTGCGGACACGTGGTCGTGGAGAGTCTGCGGATACGTGGTCGTGGAGAGAGTACTGTGGACACGTGGTCGTGGAGAGTACTGCGGACACGTGGTCGTGGAGAGTCTGCGGACACGTGGTCGTGGAGAGTCTGCGAACACGTGGTCGTGGAGAGTCTGCGGACACGTGGTCGTGGAGAGAGTACTGTGGACACGTGGTCGTGGAGAGTCTGTGGACACGTGGTCGTGGAGAGTCTGCGGACACGTGGTCGTGGAGAGTCTGCGGACACGTGGTCGTGGAGAGTCTGCGAACACGTGGTCGTGGAGAGTCTGCGGACACGTGGTCGTGGAGAGAGTACTGTGGACACGTGGTCGTGGAGAGTCTGTGGACACGTGGTCGTGGAGAGTCTGCGGACACGTGGTCGTGGAGAGAGTACTGTGGACACGTGGTAGCCTCAGTCCAACGTATCAATAAGACATGAACAAGCTCTCACAGCCTTCAAGCCAGCAGATGTGTGTAATGTAACCAGTGTCGGAGAGGGAGGTCAGGTCAGATCAGGTCAGTGGCAGCCGCCGCGGTCGTCTGGCTGCCGTCCACAAGTCGTCCGCAGACATCACATCCTGGAAAGAGAGAAATAAACAAGTAAGGATGAGAGGATAGAGTTTCCGTCAACAAGGTGTGTATGTGCAGTGACGACTGTGTACGAAGGGGAGAGGGGGGGGGGTGACAAGTAGACATTCAGATAGACAAATAGGCAGACATACAGCCATATGCCATACAGCCATATGCCATACAGCCATATGCCATACAGCCATATGCCATACAGCCATATGCCATACAGCCATATGCCATACAGCCATATGCCATACAGCCATATGCCATACAGACATATGCCATACAGACACTCAGATACAAACATTCAGTGACAAAAGCACGCAGGCAGATAACAAAGAGGCAGCTCAAACAAAGCGGAAAGAGGATAGCGAAATATTCGAATTAATACCTCCCAATACAGGAGGACCATTATTTCACAGTAAAAAAAATTAGTTCATAACTTTAATCGGAACGTTTATAATAGACATGTGTTACCGTCAGCCAGCTGAGTTTGTGTGTGTGCGCGCGCGCTGAGAGAGAGAGAGAGAGAGAGAGAGGGGAAGGGAACTGGTGGTAAATGTTTGGAATTTAAGTCATGACCTCTGACCTGATCCACGAGACCCTGTGACCTATGCAACCCGTCCTCTTACAGAGTATACCGCAGTTTGACCTCAGAATCCTCAACAGACAAACATAGGGTTATATAAATCATATCGACCCACATACACGTTTTTATGCGTGATTGATAGATTAAGTTAGGTTAGAGCGTTTTAATACACCGTATTCTATCCGTTGTGGCAGCTCCAGAGGACGGGCAGCGTGCGCAGCCTTCTTCATATCCTGTAACAGCTAGATATATACCTTCAAGTTGTGTCCGCCAACTTCCAGGCACTTACACTCAAAACAAGATCATGTTTCTTGTTAGTGGTTCCTCACTGATGATGTGTAATGGAGACTGATGACCGGCCACTTGTTTTTACATCCCGGAAAACAAATTCTTTTGTTGTTTGTTGAGGTAAGAGACAGAGGTAATAGTTTATGTTGTGTTTGTTGAGGCAAGAGACAGGTTGTGGTGTAGGCAGGCGATGAGTCACAATAACGTGGCAAAAGTATGTTGACCAGACCATACACTAGAAGGTGAAGGGACGACGGCGTTTCGGTCCGTCCTGGACCATTCTCAAGTCGATCTTGTCGTGTAGCTTCCTGACTGTTGTAGCCTCGAGGTAAAGTTGTCCTCCCGCTAGTGTGTGTCAGACAGAGTGGAGAGAGAGCCTTCTGCTGGTTCATAATGTGACTTGTGTCAGCTTAGAGTTACAAGCAGTATCACGAGTTAAGTAGATTAATGCTCCCAGTAGATACCCTTTTTGTAGAGAAAATAAACTTCTTTCATCTGCTTTTTTAAACACATGTGTATATTTTTTATTTTAAAAAAAGCAAGAGTTCAATTGGATAAATACGGATGTTCTTAATTGTATTCTTCAAAAGAAGAGCGGTTAGACTAGATCAGCGAGGACTAATCTATGGAGTAAATATATTTGTAATGGATCTATACTTTATTTAACGTTAGGCTACGATAATATAAAGTCGAGGGTGAGATAGAGCCACGTATATACAAGAGCCTCTATATTGACAGTTGGCTTTATTTCATTAATATTTATTTTAAGAGATAACATGTTCCTTATGTGAGCCGAGGAATGAATGAGAAGTGTGACGGAGCTACAGTGAAGCTCCTTCACACTAAACATCGTCTGTTGCACGTGCCGTAATGCCAGGTGGTTATGAGGAGAAAGCGTCAAGCCAGTATGACTGAATAACATATAGGATAGGAGATGGAATAAGTACATTGAGTGAAGGGTCTAAACACTTGGGCCATCGGGGCTCGAACACCGACATGCAAGAAGCGAGGTGGTCGTTGTACTGACCAGTCTCAGTTGATGGTGTGAATGTCGTTTTCTGGTTGTCCACGAAGTTTGGTCAGGTGTGGGACTTTGAGAGCATTAGATTGTGTGAGATTTCTGGATGAAGTACCCGGTGGTGTCCAGGTCTCCTTCTCATATTCCCGTTTCCTATTTCTTACCCTGCCCGCCCTCTTTCCTCATCTCTCGCCTCTCCTCTTTCTTGTCATAGCTTCCTCTTGCCCAGTTGCTTTCCACTTCTGCACTCCCCCCATTTCTCTTTCCCCCAATAACCTCCTCTCTCTCTCTCTCTCTCTCTCTCTCTCTCTCTCTCTCTCTCTCTCTCTCTCTCTCTCTCTCTCTCTCTCTCTCTCTCTCTCTCTCTCTCTCTCTCTCTCTCTCCTCGTCCCCTAAGCTTCATCAGCGACCATAAACACGACAGACCAATTTAGCCGTCAAACGCTCAAGGTGAAACAAACAAGCAATTAATCCCACACGACTTATATATCCCTTTTCGAACAGGACAAAATATAGCAATCGACTTGTGTACACGAAACCCAGTTTGGGCGACACCCAAATTGGGTGGGATCCGAGGAGGGTTACAACAGAGTGGGAGGGAAGTTATCTGGGCAAGACTAAATCTGTGCAGGTGACACCCAACTTGGGTGACACTAGACTAGGATGACTCCCAACTTGAGTGACACCCAACTTGGGTGACACCCAACTTGGGTGACACCCAACTTGGGTGACACCCAACTTGGGTGACACTCGACTAGGGAAGAAAGTAGGGAAAAGGAGTGAGGGTGAGTGGAAGTGAAGGGGGGGAAGGGGAGGGAGAGAGAGAAATTTAAAGATTGTGGAGAGTGAAGCAGGTGTGTGACCCTGCCCAGGCACTCCATAACACGATTTTAGCAGCGAGAGGCGGGACCAAAGAGCCAGAGCTCAACCCCCGCAAGCACAATTAGGTAAATTAGGCAATTAGGTAAGTACATACAAGAAACATCAAGAGCCTATATGCTCCTTGTGTTAATGGCTGAGACGGGGAGCCGGTCGGCCGAGCGGACAGCACGCTGGACTTGTGATCCTGTGGTCCTGGGTTCGATCCCCAGGGGCCGGCGAGAAACAATGGGCAGAGTTTCTTTCACCCTATGCCCCTGTTACCTAGCAGTAAAATAGGTACCTGGGTGTTAGTCAGCTGTCACGGGCTGCTTCCTGGGGGTGGAGGCCTGGTCGAGGACCGGGCCGCGGGGACACTAAAAAGCCCCGAAATCATCTCAAGATTACCTCAAGATCTCAAGATATACTCGACCCGGCCTCTCGACACACAGTACATCCTATTTAGACACGTTGCCCCATACGACCAAAAACCGACGTGCTAAATATTTTACACAGCGACTCGCAACAATGACGTGATGTTCCGTTTTCTATCCGTGGGTGCTCGGTTAAGTTAGGTTCGGGCACTTGAGTCCATCACTTTAGTGACATTGTGAAGGCTCGAGGGGATAGGCAGGCTGCCCAATACAAGCCATCAGACTAGGCCTCACGCTAGTGGGAGTGGATGGTGGTACCTATCCACATCCACCTATCCTGGATATCCTATCCAGGCGGAGCTTGGCGACAGTGGGGAGGGGGGGGGGTCAGCAGTAGTTTATTTCATATATATATAATTTATTTATCCAGATATTTATCAATGTTTTGTAATATATTTGCACCTACGTCATCGGGAAACGATTTGTTCCAACGAACTGTGACTGTAGTCGATGAAGTCTATATTTTAATGTTCATTGCGTCTGTCTCATAATTTATGGCTTGTTATTGTCTTGTGCTCTATAGACTTCGTCTCATTTGTTGCGTAAAAGTTATTGAACATTTGCAAAGGTTTAGATGATGGTTGATTGTAAGGCTCAGCAGTGGATGTCTATACGGTGCTTTGGTTGACTTAGAGTATTATTTAAATACAATACCCACTGAGGCCACTGGAGCACCCCTACAATCCTGGAAGGTTATACAATACCCACTGAGGCCACTAGAACACTCCTACAATCCTGGAAGGTTATACAATACCCACTGAGGCCACTGGAACACTCCTACAATCCTGGAAGGTTATACAATACCCACTGAGGCCACTGGAACACCCCTACAATCCTGGAAGGTTATACAATACCCACTGAGGCCACTGGAACACTCCTACAATCCTGGAAGGCTATACAATACCCACTGAGAGGCTACTGGAACACTTCTACAATCCTGGAAGGCTATACAATATCCACTGAGGCCACTGGAACACTCCTACAATCCTATAAGGCTATACAATACCCACTGAG